CTGCTACAGCTGGTGAGTGTGTGTGTGTGGGGGGGGGTTGCTTTTATTTTAATTGCTGGGGGCCCATGAGGGAGCAGGGGCTGTGTAGGGGGGACTCTGCCAGGAGGCCCCAGAGCTCCCACAGCCCCTGCTTCAATCAGTGAGCATGGGGCTTTTAAAGTACCAGATTGGCTGAGGCCGTGCACAAGAGGGACCAGGCAGGGCAGCCATGTGGGCTTTTCTCACAGCTCCCCCCCCAGCCCGGGGAGATGCAGGCACAGCTGGAGGAGCCGTGGGAGAACCTCCAGCCACCCAGCTGTGCCTGCCTCGTCCTAGCCAATCCGAATCTCCAAATCTTTTCCGAATTGATTTGGAGGCTTCGGGTTGTATTCAGACCTTTTAATGGGTCTCCTGATTCAATTCAGATCCAGAGATTCAGCCACCGAATCAGGTCAAATCTTTTCCTAATTGAATCAGTGACTGAAGCTTTGCATAGCCATGTGGTACAGTATATGATGCCACAGACACGTCTGCAGTGCCACACACTGCACATTCAGTTGTTCTCCATGCTGCAAGGGAGCAGCATAGACATTTTTTTTTACCTGGATATCCAGGGGTCAAAAAAACTCCTGGAAAAAAAAGGCAGAGTGGTGCACATGCGGGCAGCATGCACCACTCAAAACAAGAGCCTGGCCAACTAGAGCTGCACTCCATTGCCAGCCAGGCTCCGCAGTGCTAGCCCCAGCCTCCCCTATACCACCTGGGGTAGTTTGCTGTGCTCCAGAAGGTGCGAGGCACAAGTGTTCCCTGGGGACAAGTAGCAGCAGCACAAGGTGCACCACCACTAGTTGTCCCTGGGGAACTAAATTTCTTCACATGTGTAGACATGGCCCTGGAATCCAGTTTGCAATGGCAAATTTTGGTGGGGGCAGGGAATACGTTTAAAAATATATATTATGGAGTGTTTTGAGATTAGTGGATTAAAAAGTGTTCATGTATAAAAGTGACAGCTGCTGCTGAATTATATTTGGTGTAAAAAAAATAGGGAGAGAAGCTGATGATAACCCCAAGAACCTACAGAATCATTCTGGCTCTTTTCACATATATTTCAGAAATATATCTGTGATGCAAAGGAAAAGCGGGGGTGGCTTCTGAAGCTATAAGGCCTTAACCAATGAAAACTACCTACCAACTTCCAGGCCCCACTGACAATGGAATATCATAGATACTAGCTGTGCGGGGAAATATTTTGCTTTAGCTAATGCCAAAACAGGATGCTAAAACTGCTCTAGATGGTAGATTTCAATTTAGCCAGAGGGAAGAGAGATTGTATCTCATATACATTAGCTCCCTATCTTTAAGTAGCTAGCAAGTTCCCAATTCACAGGTGCAAGATTGAAACTATAATTAATCAGGAGTAGATGGTCTCCAGAACCACAGAGTAAAGGTACCTACTGCTCAAGCTGCTTCTGGATGGTTTTTAACTAACAGTATGCAGTCAGATTTTCAGTTGCTTATGTTCTGATGCATTGGTCCCATCTCTACTTTATTCCGGTATTTAGTCCAAAGGTAAGAATTTCCTAAGAACCTTTTGGTTTTGATTTGAAAAACCCCTAAGGGTAGAATAGATCTCACTTGCTGTTTCAGTCACAGCACAAGTTAAAACTGCCTAGGGACTGCTGTAACTCAAGGATGTTCAACTTCTTTGAAGCGGGGCAGCCTGCAGGGCTGTAATCCTGGGACCACCCATTCCATGGGCAACACCTCCCTCAGTTCCCCACAACCATGCAAATATTGCAGACAGCCTGGCTTCCCACCCCTTCACTCCTGCAAAACTGACAGGCTGTCTTCTCTCCCACCTTCCCCCCTCCCTGCCCCCACATGCATAGTCCCCATAGCCTGGGCACTTCAGCCCTGTCCTGCTGCACTGCCCCAGGTGTGGGAGCGGGGGTAGAAGCTAGACGGAGGTGGAGCCTGAAGTAGCCAGCTGCTGTGGCAGGAGCAACAGTGGAAAAGTAGCGGGTAGGGGAAGGGGGAACTGGTGGCCAGGCAGAAGTTCATGGGCCACATGTGGCTTGTGCGCTACAAGTTGGATAGCCTGACTTTAATTTATGCCAGCAAGCTGCTTTCCCTCAGGAGCATTAAACGATTTGGAAACTGCAAGAATATGTGATTTAACTGCTCAGCCTTATTGCCCTGGCATTCCCTTTTCTACCCCCAAAATGTACCATATGCTTTAAAATGAGGTATAGAAACTGGCAGTGTGACTGCAGGGTACTTCCACATGGTAGAGGATTCCATATGAAGGCTGTTGCAGGAGGTTTGTGTTCTCTTTTTGCCACCTGAAGATCATGCAATGAAAGAATAAATGTAGATACTGCTTTTCTTCTACAATGTATGTGGCTTAATTAACTGTAATAAACTATGAGCAGTTGTTTTTTTCTTCACTAACTTACCTAAACTCGGTTCAGTAGTAGGAGGGGAAACAGGAAGAAGGTGACAGACTGATGAAAGCTGTCACTTTAGTAAATTGAGGGCTTTTTCTCCTCCAAATCAAAACAGAACTCACACCTCTGCCATGAAGTTCAGGAACTCTGCACTAATATATTGAGGTACTGAGAACTTCATGCTCTTGAAGTTTGATCAGGAAAAATTGTACGTTGTCTGTTGAAGAAGTATGCCCCTTTGTTCACTGTTGGACAGCTGCTCTGTTCCTCTCTATACATGGTTGCATTTCTGTGGGATGTGAAAATCTGGATTTATAAAGTTTTGTTTTTTTTAACATACTTACCTGAGAGAAATACAGGGAAATATTTGTTAATCAGAGGAGGGCAAAACTACCACATATGAATTTTAACTATGGATAAAATTTCTGTTTAAATTATGCATTGTATATATCACCTTTACACCCTCGATGAAAGTTCTTACATGTGAAATGCAGATAGTACATACATGTTGTGCTGGTACGCTGTGCAGACATGAATTTAATTCAGGGCTAAATTTGTTTACAATGAATTGGTACAGTATTATAGTTTAGGTATGTGACGATAACAGTTTTGTCAAAGAGCTTGATGTTCCATACTGTGCAAATTAGGACTCTTATTTCAACAATTAGATTTTTTAAATGTTTTTCAGTGAATAAATGTAAGTTACTCATTAAACATCAAATACTTGGTTCAGTGCTGTATCTAAAAAATGGAGGCAGTACACTCAGGATTTATCTTGCAGGGATGCTGTGAGGAGTAATTGGTGAAAATTTGGAAGCACTTTGGATATACAAAGTGCTATTCAAGTGTTAATTATTTTTATATATAAAAATTGGTGGAGAAAACTTTACAGTGAAAAACTGGAAAAGATGAAAATAAACACTTTTTTTTTTACCTTGTCTTTGAATGCTAATTTTTTTTTTTAAGTTTTAACCTTAAATGTTTTATACTCCTGGGTTGTAAATTCTGTGGGTGTTGAGCAGTAAGCAGAGCCTTTCTAAATTACATTTTTGAAGAAATACATACTGCATTGACAGATACACATGTGCATTGAAAAGCCCTGGAAATGCAACCTACAAACATCGATCTTTAATGACGTTTTTTTCATCACGCCAGGTCACGCTACAATTTGATAAACTAGGATTTAAATAAAATGAAAGAATTTTAAGTAAACATAAAAATATTCTCTGTGTTGCAAAATATATTTACTACTTTTTTACTACCTGATTTTAATAGCGTACCTATCCTTCCATTTAGCAACTGATGTTTGTTATGTTGTCAGAATTCAAATTACAAGAGGCATGAAAGATTACTCATACCTGTTATTCTCAAGTTAAGCATGCTCCATTTATACCAGTGTCTACCTTAAATTTACATTTTTATAGGCAAACTTTGTTACAGTGGTCGAAGCACATTGTGTAAACAATGTTGATTTGTAAGGAGAGCTACAAGTGTGATTTTGAAATGAAAGCGTACGCTCCCATCTGAGGATGTAAGGATCATATGATGAATAGTCAGAGGTCCAGAAACTAGAGTTATGATCTTTCCACTCAACTAACCTTCAACTTGACCTTCACAGATGGAGCTCAGCAAGTTGAAAAACAAAACTTTATTGCCCATGCCCAATAGACTAAAGGTTGTTTTTCTTTCTCACACCATGCTAATGATTTTCAGCTCACTGAATTTTAATTAAAATACCAGCCAGTTTGATAGCTCAGCACACTGGAGTGCTAGCATTTAGGGTCTCATACTCCACATACTGAGACAGTGGAGTCAGAAGGAGGACCACTGCATTGGGTCAGAAAACAGTTCTTTCTCACGGACGGGATTAATCTATCCCATCCCCACACCCCTATGTAAAAGCTCTTAATTCTAATTGCAACTTTTTGTATAAATAGACATATACTAGTATTGCAGGAGGTTTAAAATGCAGTTTTAAAATATTATAAATTGCATCATCTTTACTTGTTAAAATTTTTTAATTTCTGAATTGGAGAGGTTCTTCCTAAATAAGACATTTTCTTCAAAACAGACTAGTTTCTACTGTAGCTTTTCTACTCCAACATTAATTGCAGTCATTTATAGATCAGAATTACATTGTTATCAGTGAGATACATTCCTGTAAATGACTGATGTCTAACTAATGATGTAGTGTTAGAAAAATGTGACATTTGAAATACATCTATCACAGTTCTTTTACCCTTAAGGAAACTAAATGAAAATACAAATGAATATGGTGTAATTGCAATATTATGTGTGTATAAAGTTAAAGTTAATACAAAATGAATAGATGCAATAAATATTACATGTGTGTGACATTTAAAGTTAATACCAAATGCAATGTGAAAAGAAAAGTGTCTTCCTGATAAGTACTGTAATGTTCAAATTTCTGAAGTGTCCTTGAAACGTCTTAACAATTCAGGACTGTTACATTAATATACTTGTCTGAATTTCATTTACAGTATAGTTATTGCTCCTAGAAGCAAGGAATGTCACAGTATAGATTGTCCTATTTCTCACAATAATATCGTTACTGAATCTGCAAATAGGTCTTCCAGGCTATTACCCTCTCATTTTTCACAGAACTTCCAAGAGGTACATACCTGAAGAGAGTTCATTACAACTTTATTATATTATTTTAAATAACCTGTGTCCTGGTCCTCATTTGAATCAGAGCTGAAACTAGAATTGACTTTTGATACTGTTAACTGTCCAATTCAAGTAAAAGCCTATGTGCTATAGAACACTTTTTTAGTGCAATACAAGTAAAAATTTGGTAGACTCAGTACAACTTTTTAACTATAATGCCAACTTCATCCAATCTCTAGAGTTATAGGCCAGGAACAGCATGAAGTGGAAGTGGTCTAAGTTTTGTACTTCATGCTAGGTGTCTGAAGTTAGGTCAGGAGTGAACAGAACAGATGTTTGCCCTTTAGTGTGGGAGCCTGCAGGCTGCCTGCACTGGCTAGGGCCAGCAGGTTCAGGATGCTCCTGCATGTCTCCAAGTGGCCTCCCCACTGCTGAGCAAAGCCAAGCACAGACCAGAGGTAGGACCATCCCTGATTGGCTGCCAGACAGGGCCAAGCACACCTCCCCAAGTTGCCAGCATCTGTCAATTGCAGATAGGTAGCAAATGCAACTGTGCTTCCCAGTCCCTGCAGCTGGGTATGCTCCCTGGTGCTGTGCCTACTCATGGGTGCATGGGGGGGCTGGGTAGGTTCCTGCATACCCACATAGGACCCGCTATGCACCAACAAACAGGTGCAGCACTGGGGAATCTGACCAGGCTGTGGTGTGCAGTGGAGTATCCCTTCTCCCCTCTGCCATCAGCAACAGTCAAAGGTATCTGATCTGCTCCCTCACACTGCACCTGCTTGCAGGTGCATGGGGGGTTGGTCTGCGTGGGTTCCTCCCCCTCCCCTCCCCTCACCCCCCCCACACACACACACACACACACACACACACACACACACCCCACTGTCAGCATCAGCCACTGTATTGATTCAGCTCTGTGACAGCTCACTGAGAGGTGGCAGGCTGCTAGTATACCTACCTGCTAAAGGGGAGGGCCACAAAAGTGCCTGGGATGCTGGTAGACTGTAACCAAACTTGAATAAGGAGGGAATCTGGTGCAGAAGCTTGAAGTACTAGTCTAAACTAAATTGCTTCAGTTTGATACTACATCCATCCAGGCTTATCATACTTTGGGTCCTACCATTTTAAAACCAGTCTATGTGTACTGAATTATTATTTTGATACAGGTTTAAATGAGTTTTCAGAAAGTTATACCAGTTTGTGTATTGTCTGTACCTGGCTATATTCAAAGACAAGTTTGTAGCTGTAGACTCCATTTCCATGACTGACAGCTTACTCTTGAGTTTTCTCTTCTTTATGCAGTACCATGTAAACGGGATAATAGTTTTTCCTGCTTCCTTCTCCCCTTTCCCCTCATTTTCTGTGCTATTTGCAGTATGTCAAAAGATTAGTTCAGTTTAAATGACAGTCACAAAGGTATAACCTACCTCTGATCCCAAAAGATGATATTTGACAAAATATGAAACAGTACTTCATATTTACTCTAGA